TTTAGTTGTCAGTTTCGTTGGTTGTGTACAAGCCAATGTGTCATTTATGGAGAGACGATTTTCAATTTCGTTTTGACCAGTTGCATTGTCTCATGAATATTCATACTTGAACCAATATTGAGACTTCACTATATAAACAACCCAGTGAATTTTTGTGGTTTTGCTGTACTCAGCATGATTATGAATAACATGAAACACAGAAAAGAGGGAGCATAAAAATAAGCATGTAGAACTAGTGCACTGCAAGCTGCGTGCCATTCTTAACATGACCACAATCACTACTGCTTAACATGGCCACAATCATGAACACAGTTGCTGCAGCTATATAAGATTTACATATACAATCCATTAATAGGGTCAATCATCATTTCAAATGTGCTAAAGAAGCAATGTTTTCTTTCCTGTGAAAAAAAATTCCCATGCATCACGCATACAGGTCAATGGCACTGTGCAAAGTGTTGCCATGCGGCAAGGTGGAGTTTGGTGTATCGGACCGGCCTTAGAATCAGTCCAGCATTGTAAACAAGTTAATAAACCGTTAAAAAATTTTATTTCTTCAAACTGAAACTGAACCAGAAACAGGAGCGTGTTGCACCCAAAGCAGCATTTTTTTTTTCAGTTAAACCCCTTGGTTACAACTATTTCATATAGTAAATATTAATCTGATGTGCCCAGGTTTGATTATAAATTCTGCACTTTGCTAATGTTTCAAGATAGAGCATCCAACATGGAAGAAAAACGGCTACTTGGGCTAGTTGGTTAAAAAGTATATCACTTCACTTCACTTTATTTTCCTTAAAGACCTCACAGGGAGGTATTACATAAGGGGTGAGGTTAACATAAAGTGGCTACATACAAAACAGTGGTTACATACATTTACAAGATAGTGACTACAATGCACGTACAGTATAGTGGCTACAATACACTTATTGAGACAAACCAAGTTTTATTTTTTAGGAAAATGAGGATAAGCAGATAGTTTCGACGATATAGCGATATAGCGATTTAGCCCTTTCAGCCCTGAAATTTTTTTTGACGAATACAAATTTTTCTTTCTTGTTGATTTGGCTTTATTAAAATCCTAAGAGCACAAAAATAATTTATTCTGAGCCCCCCACACTATACTAAAAAAATGGCGTCATGTGCTACATATAGGACACCAGGGCTTGATGATTGTACGTCAAATATTGTGAATTCAAATACCTGTATTTATTTCAACCCTCTTAGCCCATGCAATCAGTGTAAAACTAGCACGTAGCAACCACGCATTAGTTACAATGGCTGAAATGTTCAAAAGGAGGTTTTCTGTGCTTCTCATACCACTTGAATGGCCGTCGCCTCATAATTGGACGCTCTCAAGATCCAACATTATAAAATATTGCCAAATTATGCTTCGCAGCGCCAAACATATTTCCGCCCATGTCTGCAAGGTCGAGCTGACTGAACTGAACTTCATGGTCGTCATCTTCTAGTTCCGTCACACACCATTCAAACCACGCCAAAAAACGAATTGAAATTAATTACGTACTATGTCGATATTGGGGAAACTACACAGATCAACTAAGAGATCTGGGCATGTTTCTCGACTCTAATAACAAGAAATTGGGAGCTGTCACAACAGCTACAGCTCCGAAGTTGCATGAATGCATTCAGAGCTCTGACACCTACCAAGCCCTGGTGTTCTATATTTAGGGCATGGAAGACTGTCCATTCCTGCAGGCGACATGTTAGTGTCCGGGAAGACCTACTTTGCAAGTAGGTAGTTAGACATCTAAGAAACAAATTGAAAAAATATGACAGCTTCCGATACAATAGTTGATGCACACAGCTCATACAGCCACACACAGCTCATGATAGAAAATGACGTTCCACTGCTTGAAACACGCCACCAAATGCTTTATTTCAACTTTCTACAATCACTGATTAATCATGAATTATCCATAGTAGCTCGTTACTCATATCTTATTTTTTATACCACCATATTCTTTGTACGATATTCTTATTAGACTTACATTACCGTATTTATATCTTGGTATTATGTTGCATTTCTTGTTTAAATATTAGGGTTCTTTCTGCGTTATACTTGAGGTTTTATGTATTTCTTGGTCTAACTATATTGATAGTTTGTATCGGACTTCCTGCTTTGTATGTAAAATCAGTGCCCTTCCTGCAAGAACCGAAGTGTGGTATGCAGTATGCCATAAATAAATAAATAAATAAATAAATAATAAATAAATAAATAAATAAATAAATAAATAAATAAATAAATAAATAAATAAATAAATAAATAAATAAATAAAAACACTATCAAATACTCTGTATCTGTGAGTGTCGTTTTTTTTTTCACAATCTGCCATCTTGCTTTCCGCTTTGCCGAGTTCCGAAGAACACGACGATGAAAAAACTACTGCCCATGTTTTTGCAGATGTATTGGGAATACCTCAGACACCTCCTTTAATTTCTGCAATGATGATTGGCAGCGAAATCTCTTTGTGTCCTTTTTACATGACATAAAGGACAAATGGGTTAAAAGGCTGGTGTGCATCCCTATTTTCCTTCTGTTCTTCAATGCGTCCCGTTTCCTTTATCACCTATGTGCTTGCATTGCAAGCTCTTTTAAATATGCTGCTAAAATGGCAAAACTCTATCATTTGTAAACACTCTGAGCATTAATTAGTATGATTTAGGTACATATGATGATCCTTGCTGCACAGCACTTGATGCTTTTCAGAGGCATTCTATGCTCACTGTGACTTATCGTAGTTTATTAGTGGCAATTTTTAATTGATTGATTGGTGTGTCAAGTTTAATGTTCCAAAACCAGCATATGATTATGAGAGATGCCATAGTGGAGGGCTCCAGAAATAGTACCAGTTTTGGATGGGTGACATTTGATGACAGGCTCAGCAGTTTTATTAGCTCTAATATGCACTTTTTAGAGCAGTGCAGAGACACTACTGTGATTCGAGCAAACAGAAGACTAACAAAAATTTAATGAAGTTCCTTGGCTATCAGTATGTACTATTTCAGAATCTAGTACACAATACAAGACAAGGAACGAATCATCATTATCATCATCACCACCACCACCATCATCATCAGCCTGACTGGACAAAGGCCTCTCCCACGTTCCACCAGAACCCGGTCCTGTGCTTGCTGCTGCCAATTTATACCCGCAAACTTCTTAATCTCACTGCCCACCTAACCTTCTGTCTCCCCTTAACTCGCTTGCCTTCTCTGGGAATCCAGTTAGTTACCCTTAATGACCAGCGGTTATTCTGTCTATGCACTACATGCCTGGCCCATGTCCATTTTCTCTTCTTGATTTCAACTATGATATCGTTAACCCCCGTTTGTTCCCTAATCCACTATGCTCTCTTCTTGTCTCTTAAGGTTACACATACCATTTTTCTTTTCATTGCTCGCTGTGTTGTCCTCAATTTAAGCTGAACCCTGTTTGTAGGTCTCCAGGTTTCTGCTCCGTAGCTAAGTACCGGCAAGATACAGCTGTTATATACCTTCCTCTTGAGGGATAGTGGTAATCTACCTGTCATAATTTGGGAGTGCTTGCCAAATGTGCTCCACACCATTCTTATTCTTCTAGTTACTTCAATCTTGTGGTTCAGCTCTGCGGTTATTACCTGCCCTAAGTAGACATAGTTTTACAACTTGAAGTGCACTACACTATTGCCTACCTCGAAGCGCTGCTCATTTCTGAGGTTGTTGTACATTACTTTTGTTTTCGGCAGATTAATTTTAAGACCCACCTTTCTGCTTTCCTTGTCCAACTCCGTAATCATGAGTTGCAATTCGTCCCCTGAGTTACTCAGCAATGCAATGTCATCGGCGAAGCGCAGGTTACTAAGGTACTCTCCGTTAACTTTTATCCCCAACTGTTCCCATTCTAGGCTTCTGAAAACCTCCTATAAGCACGCAGTAAATAGCATTGGGGAGATTGTGTCCCCCTGCCTTACACCCTTCTTGATTGGTATTCTGTTGCTTTCTTTATGAAACACTATGGTAGCAGTTGATCCCCTGTAGATTTCCTCCAGGATGTTTATATATACTTCATCGATGCCCTGATTCCACAGTGTCTGCATGATGGCAGATATTTACACTGAATCAAACGCCTTCTCGTAATCTATGAAGGCTATGTATAGTGGTTGCTTATATTCTGAGCATTGCTCTATTGCCTGATTGATATGAATGTGGTCGATTGTTGAGTAGCCTGTTCGAAATCCTGCTTGTTCCTTTGGTTGATTGAATTCTAATGTTTTCTTTACTCTGTTAACAATTACCTTTGTAAATAGCTTGTAAACTACAGAGAGCAAGCTGATCGGCCTGTAATTCTTCAAGTCCTTGTCATCTCCTTTCTTATGTATTAAGATGAAGTTAGCATTCTTTCAAGACTCTGGTACTCTTCCCGTCAAGATACACCTCGTAAACAGGGTGGCTAGTTTTTCTAACACAATCTGTCTTCCATCTTTCAGCAGATCTGATGTTACCTGATCCTCACCAGCAGCTTTGCCTCTTTGCATGCTGTCCAAAGCTTTTCTGACTTCTATCATTACTTGTGAAGTGTCATCTGGGTTACTGCTAGTTCTTATAGTATTAAGGTCGTGGTTGTCCCGGCTACTGTACAGATCTCTGTAAAACTCCTCCGCTATTTTAACTATCCTATCCATATTGGTAGTTATTTTGCCTTCTTTATCCCTTAGTGCATACATCAGAGGAACGAATAATAACTGACAAAGACTGTGCCTGTCTTTGTCAGTGGTCGCTTAGTGCTTGTCTTCTTTAGTGCACTCGCTTCTGAAATCAAATAACAACATGCCCAAACTTTAGAGATGAAAAAAAGAGCAGAAGGTATGCGTAGCTATGCTAAGTGTGAGAAAAGAATTTGCTTCATTGTGACATGCAATGAGTATGACGCATACAAATGCTAGACGCAAAGTACTGCTAAAATATCCTGCTACACAACATAGAAATTCTGTCCTTACCATGTTGTCAAGCTGTGAGGTCTGTACAGGAGGTGGTGGCTGCCCGCCAAGGAGGTTGGTATGTGTTACTTCTACAGAAAAGCTGGGAAGCCAACTGACGTAGCGTGAACCTAAGCCATAAATAAAGCAAACTGTAGTCATGAACTTCATACAACAACAAAGCTCAATGCTTGCAGCACTAGCAAGAAAAAATCAAGCTGCCATAAATTACCATCAAAGTGGAAAAAGTGGTTTGTGGTAGCATTCTGTTGTAGCCGTGGAGCATCCTCTTGACCTCCGAGAGCCCCTAACAGCAATGCGGTGTTACGGCTCTCATCTCGTAGGCTCTCTCCAGCCAAGGCTCCTCCTGGCTCAGACAGGGACATCCGGCATGTTGGGCACGATGTGTCCTGCTCCAACCATGATCGCAGACATGAGCTGCACAAGAGAAACATCAATCATAATTACAAACAATAATAATATTTAGAAACCTGCAACACACATGGGCCAGATGACACCGATTGATATGTGGGGTTTAATGTCCCAAAACCACGATACGATTATGAGAGATGCCGTAGTGGAGGGCTCCGGAAATTTTGACCACCTGGGGTTCTTTAACGTGCACCTAAATCTAAGCACATGGGCCAACTACAGCATTTTCGCCTCCACCGAAAATGCAGCCGCCGCAGCCGGGATTCGATCCCGCGACCTGCGGGTCAACAGCCGAGTGCCTTAGCCACTAGACCACCACGGTGGGGCAGCCAGATGACACTGCACTTGTTTAAATTTTTTTTACAAGCACCATAGAAACCAGTTGCTCGGACTATGAAGGAAAAGACACCATCCTAAATACAGTAAAAGCTTGTTAATTTGAACTGACACCCTTGCCCTGCACAGCTCTGTGTATTTATAGGACCTGAAAATTCTAATGTGACGGTATTCGCAATGGTTAATTTGAACTAGGAGTCCCTGGTTTTCATCGATCCTTGCAGATGTTGGCCCAGAGTGAACACCATGTGTTGCAAAGTCAAACCAAACCAAACTTACTAGAAATGAAAAACAAAGTCCTGAAGCATTTCTCAGCACAAAAGAATTTGAACGCTGTGCTGGAGTTTTTGGACAAGCTTCAAACGACGCTCATTGAGTTGTGACAGAAAAAGCACAAGCGAATGCCAATTACTGTTTACTTTTAATTTGGATTGCATTAACTCTGCAATGTAATTAAACATGTTTTAGAGCTTAGATAGTAATATATATTATTGAAATGTTGACATGAATGCATATGACATTTCCCACATATTACTGACTGATCAATTATTTATTTGCTGTTAGAGCTCTATAAACTTATTTTACAAAATTGCCTGCCACAAACGTGCAGTGGCATCTAAATTATGATAATGAGGCTAGAGGTGGCTTCTTCGGGCTCTGCCTATGCAGTGGGGTGCGTTGCATGTTTTTTCTAGTGCCCGCCCACTAATTCCAACTCTGCTTAACAATTTTATGGCCCCACTTGAGTTCAAATTAACGAGCTTTTACTGTAACAGAAGTATCCCTTGATAATCAAAACCTTGCTCGATCCACTCAGTTACACACACAGTGGGAAAATGGCAACTTGCCATTGCTACCCCAAGAAGTTACACATATGTTTGTAATTCACAAAAATCAAATCTCTAGGTTCCTATTGTTGCTTTTGCTTAAGGAACAGAGGCTGCAATGTTAAGATCTGTGATGCGTTGAGATTCCCTGCAGTCCACTGGACTGTCTGCATGCACTGCCATCACTATGGGAGGTACTGGCTAACACTTTCAAGCTTATGTTTATTATGAAAACACAAATTTCCAAGAAAGTGAGCAGATGAACAGCTGTCGACTAGGCAATGGTTGAGCAGTGACACTTAACACAAAGGTTTTGGGTTGAATTCTAATATGCAGAAAGTTGTGTCTTATATAATCACTTACCTTTTTCTTTAGCACAACGGAGGTTGCTCAAACGTAATCCTTGTGCATATTTATAAAATTTCATTTAAAGTGGTAGTTCAGTTATTGTTACTAACATGTGACATCAAAAAAATTAAGCCTATTATTTCTTTAATTTTTTTTTCAACTGTTAAGCCTGCTATTCAAGAGTTGAAGTGGACTTAATAGTGTTTTGAAGCAGCGTTCGTGCGGTAAAAGGGGAGTTTTGGAGCAGCTTAGCTTTCTAGAGTCAAACATCAATGTGGGAAGGGGAGGCTTAATTTAAATAGTTTATTATTTATGGTAAATAAACATTCAGTGCTAGAATAACCACTCACAAGTGTGTGTGTGTGTGTGTGTGTGTGTGTGTGCGTGCATGTGTGTGTGCGCGCGTGTGTGCGTGTGTTTTATGATCGACTGACAGCAAGAGGTGATCATTTGCTTTACAATCACTTCATTACTAACACAGAAAAAGATTTAAGAATGCTCTGATGACTTGATTGTTCAGCCCAGTGAGGTTTAACAATCAGCTTGTCTGATCCTTGTGACAAATGTAGCCTATTTTTTTAGTTATAAAGCAAGGGGGTGGGGAGGAATTGCACTCTGCTTTTCATATAATATCAATTTCAAACATTATTTTTTTTAGGTATACATTTACAGCTTACAATATATGGCATGATCAACAAATGAATGTTGCACTTAAAAATGAAGCGAGCTTGCAGCAACTGTGCAAAATGGTGCCATACCAACAGGAAAGCACTGCATTGCTAACTTCATCAGACCAGCCCAATTTTTCGTGCTTTTCACATCTCCTAAGCAGCCATCATAAGTGGCAAGGGTTTTAACATATATATATGGTGAAACTTTGAACTTTCAAAAGATACCAAGATGGCATCAAAGATGGAAGAAGGCTTCGTGAAGGCTGGTGTTTATGCATTATCGTGAGCTCCCCCCCCCCCCCCCCAGTATCCATGGTGATACAACACTGATGGCCTTTTTTTTTTACAACACTTAATGCACATTTTCAGCAAAATGCAATAGATGGCACTGATTATGCATTGCAGATACCAAACTGCATGTTGTCCCAATATAGCTTTTCTAAAGTTATTTTCCAATCTTTTTCCTACACTGTGTGACTTAATCTTGTGTGCCCAATGACTGAAGTGGCTGCGTGCCCTACTTTTATCAACCAGCCAAGCAGCATGCACTGAAACATATAGTATTACGGTGATATTGGCAATGTTTCTCAAAGTGTTAATCTCAGAATATGACCCCTAGAAACAGACATAATGTATTCATGTTGATGCCATACAGAACCGAATTTACTTTAGACAAACTTTGCTAGCTCTTCCATGTTGGCTTTTTGCAAAGTGCTCCGAGAACTTAATAAATGAACAAAAAAGTTTGGGATAGTTGGAGCTTGACTAACCCACCCTATTTATTTTCGTGTTAACAGTGTTGCTTTCACAGTCAAGCCATCGTCGGCCCGCAAAAATATCCCTTGAACTCGGATGTCAGGAAGCACACATACATTGGGTGAACTACTCCTATGTGTTCATTGTAGCACCTTTTGGAAACTTTTCAAAAATTTGATAATAGCACTCTGCAGTGTCCCTCTATGAGGACAAATGATTGATATGTGGGGTTTAACGTCCCAAAACCACCATATGATTATGAGAGACGCTGTAGTGGAGGCCTCCGGAAATTTCGACCAACTGGGGTTCTTTAACCTGCACCCAAATCTGAGCACATGGACCTACAACATTTTCACCTCCATCGGAAATGCAGCTGCCGCAGGCGGAACTCGAACCCGCGACCTGCGGGTCAGCAGCCGAGTACCTTAGCCACTAGACCACCGCGGCGGGGCTGTATGTGGACAACCCTATCTAGTAATACACCCTAAAACATTCACACAGTGTTTGCAGCAAGGAGCACCGATGACGGTGACATCCTGAACTTATGCGAGTTTGATTAGTCTAAAGATAATTTTTCATTTGAGGAAGGTGTCTTCAGATGACCCAAACATGTCCTGGGCTGACAGCACTGAATACAAAGTGACGATAAGGGCCCTATACAGTCGAACCCATTTATATGAGACACTGATATAAGAGACAAATGGGTATAAGAGACACCAATGTGGTTACAATAAAATATGGGTGAATATGAAAATGCATACGCAATACCCTGTTTATAAGAGACATCTCATATAAAAGACGAATTGCTGCCCACAGCATTTTTTTTACAAAGGAGTTCAACTGTATAGCAAACCATTCCAGCAGTAATCACCTGTTTTGTGATGTCATGTAAAGACTACACAATATGGAAGCCTCAGAAATTAAAGAAACAACTTTGAAATAATTCATGTACAATGCAATTGCATTTTGTTTGCACAAGAATTTTTTTAGAAGGCATTTTTACTTTGTTTGCTGAAGAACTTTTTTTTTTGCATGTTGTCTAGAACACACAACTGAAGGGTGAACACCTATTCCCCCCCACTCCAATAACAGAAGCACCTGTTTAATGTAGTAGATCATGTTCTGCAAGCATGAAATCTGTGCAAACTACTTACTTGTGGAAGAGATGGCCACAAGGAAGTTTTCTTGCAGACTCCATGTGGTCCCAGCAGATTGCACAATCATCACTATTTTTTTCCAGTTCATCTGTTGTAGCCATTGGATAGCTAGGTAAATAAAATCAGTTGTACAAAGTCAATACTGCAGTGTTTACCAAGCTTCAGTTGACAAAAACAGATATGCATGTACGTTGGTACACAGTGAACTGACATCCTCCACAGAGTACAGTAACTTCAGAAATTATGATTTGTCAAAAAAAGAAGATCAGCAGATAAATTCTTAAAATTGATCCTTTCTTTTCCTTTTTTTTTCCCTGATATATACAAGGTACTACATTTATGTCGAAGCCTTTGAGCCATCACCCTCATCTTCAATTAGCACTGCGCATGCAACACAAAGAAAAGGCTGCGAAGGAATGGAGATATTTTATCAATATTTTTTCATGGAGCAAGAACAAGTTCATTCGTTAAAATTTAATTTTATAATAGCGTCAAACTAAAGCACTGAGCTTTCTAGCTATGTAACTTTCTTTTTGTTGCTTAGACGAGATAACCTATTAGGTTTTCTTATTTATATATTCCAGCTTACCAAATAAACTCTACAACCATATTCAGTTTAAGTACACAATATTCCCAGAATAACTGAAGAAGGCATAAAATAACACAGTTTAGCCACGAATTTCAAACACATTTTTCAATTTCTGATAAAAGCATAACTGCTAATGTACTACATGTACATTGAAAAAACTCCGTTTAAGTCTGACAACACCTAACCTATTGATTGAAGAGCACTGCCCTTTTTATCACAGAAGTCACCATGCTTATTAAAACGTGTCTGAGTGCCCCAGAAAACCTCATGCTTGAACGAAGCACTTGAGATTGCATGACAAAAGTTTTTTTCACTACCGCAAATAAACTTGAAAGGAAGTGAGAGTGCTTTCACTGTATGTTCAAAGCTTTACCATATAGTGTAAAATTCCAAAAGCAACACTTAGGCTATGATAGGACATAACACTGATCCCCTGATGTTCCTTATTATGTATTTACACTTAAGTGCACAAGTAACACACCTTCACATCCTCCAACACCCTTTCCTATGTACACTCAATACCTAGATATAATGAACTCAGATATAACGAAATATCGGTTATAACAAAGTAAATGAATACTCCTGCAATAGATATAGTAGTGTTAAAAAATATACTTTTCTAAAAAATTTTCAGATAAAATGAACTTAATTTCATGTAACATACAACTTCGTTATATTGAGGTCTGAGTGTCTATGTATATGTATCTACAGGGTGTTTCAAGAAATGTGTCCAATATTCTTTAAAAAACACAGAGAGAAGGTATCTGCATGCTACTTGCGGCATTGCCTTTCCTGTGGCAAAAGGCATATTCAGGCGTGTACAAACATTTTTTACGCCAGTAGTTATAGAAATTAACACAATTAACTTTTTAACCATTAGTAATAGCCGGTCGAGTCAAATGGGCAAATTCAAGCCCTTCCTATAAATAGTCTATAGCCACATTGAAATTTCGGAAAAGCGGCAACTGGTAATCACCGCATAGCAATTCAATTAGCCTAATTTAGCTGGAGAAACTAAAACTGATGCACCAAACAGCGCATCTACCATTCACTTTGCCAACGCCCTAAGTGATGACACTATTTCCCTCACCGTTATCAACCATAAATTTATACACTTCGCTTCGAGGCCGCTTATCGACGCTCGCTCATTCTTCTCCCCCAATGCGAGGGAAACAGTGTCGTCACTGAGGGCGTTGTCAGTGCATCGGTTTTGGTTTCTCCAGCTTAATTGGGCTCATTGCATCGATAGGCGGTGATTACCAGTTGCCGCTTTTCCGAAATTTCAATGTGGCTATAGACTATTCGTAGCAAAGGCTAGAATTTGCCCATTTGATTCGACCGACTATTACCACTGGTTGAAAAATTAATTGTGTTAATTTCTATAATTACTGCCATGATTCATGTTTGTACACATCTGAAGGTGCCTTCTACCACAGGAAGGCAACGCTGCAAGTAGCATGGAGATACCTCCTTTCTGTAATTTCTAAAGAACTTTGAACATATTTCTTGAAGCGCCCTGTACGCATATATACAGCCACGGTCACGTCTGTAAAGCGCGAGTAGACTGTTTTTGCTCTGCGGGGCAACACCTGAGTAAAATGCATCCCTCTGCATACTCTCCTCATTGATACATAACCCCACAGTTGGGGGATAGGAAGAGCTGCTGGCCAGTGAGAACATGAAAGATAAGCCGAGTCTGATCGAACAGGCCCGCAGAGCCCTAAACTGAGCCCCCTCCACTGCAAACCAAAAATCTCCGACTACTTTGAGCTTCTCTGCAGAAAACGTCCAGTGACAAAATAACTAAGTTTTCACCACCACTACCCTCCCCACCAATCTCACCTTGAAGTTGGTGACAAATTTGAAAAATTCTTTATTCCAGCTGTTACTATGTCACTGGAATGCTAATTGGGAGGCAAATAATGAATGAATTTATTATCGTAATATTCACTCTAAGCAACTATACAGTCATCATCTTCATCATCATCAACATTCATTTCAAGGACTTACTCCTCCAGTCAATTACTTATTGAATAATAAACCTAAATATGTAAAATAGAATGCATTTTTGAAATAACAGTATAATGAAGGAATGAAGACAACAACAGGGAACAACAAGCATCATCACGAGAGGAAGGCACCACGAGATCGGCGCTCAACACCACCATCTTCTTCGTCCTGTGGCCATCTCCAATCCTCCGCCTGTTTCTTAGACTCGGCCAATAAAACTACTTATATTTGGAGGATTGTGCTGGGTACCCACATCGCCTACGCCCTTAAACTCTGATCCCGCACCCTGCCGTCAACCATGCAAGTTCACGCTGCCTAACAGACAGTACCTCTCGCGACCGCTGCTTGCCCCGGCCCGGTTCACCAGCAAGATCTCTCAATCTTTGCGGGCACCAAAGAGTAGAAGGTCGAGGACTGGCTGTCATGTTACGAAAAAGTCGGTGGACCCATCAGGTGGGATGACGCTGCTAAGTTGGGCACTGTCAACTTTTATCTCACCAACATGGCAAAGCTGTGGTATATGAACCATAAAACCGAGTTTGCGAACTGGTCCGCTTTCAAGGAGGCAATATCCGCCGTTTTTGATCGCCCTGCCTTACGAAAGCTACGCACCAAACAATGTCTGTGCACATGGGCACAAGAACCAGGTGAAACTTTCACCTCATATACAGAAGACATAATAGACCTCTGCCGGCGTGTCGATGTCTCCATGAGCAAGAATGCCAAGATACAGCACATTATGAAGGGTGTCAATGATGACGTTTTCCAGATGCTCCTCGCGAAGTCTCCTAGCACAGTGTGACTTTGTGTCAGAGCTATGATGAATTGAGGAGGCAACGAGCTCTGACGCGATGTACATCCCACATGATCCAACCAGTGACCGCGCCGGACGTTATGCTTGACCAGACATAGCTTCACGCACAAATGAGAGTCTTTGTGCGAGAAGAAGTGGCTCAACAGCTTGCTCTACTGCCCTTTGCTCAATGCCAGGAGCTCTCACAGCAGCAGTTGCTGCGACACCCAACATCATTGGCTCTTACGCTCCAACATGAGGTCAAGGAGCCGATTTCAGAGGCTATACCGGTGCCCTTTCATCAGCACACTGTCACTACGCCTCTCACTTACGCTGAGGCAGTAAAGCGGCAGCAGCTGCCCCAGCCCCCACCGTTTCAGGGACTGCCGCATGAATGAATTACCTAAGCTTCGACTCAGCCATTCACTGCATGGTTTCCTCCCATAGCTACCACAGCTCCAACTTAGCCGTCTGCCGCATGGGCTGCTTTCCTCACTGTCTAATGCCTGAAGAATGCACGATAACCAACCCATCTGTATTGCGTGCGGTGACCCTGGCCATATCGCCCGATACTGCCGCCGCCACGAGCCAGGATATATAGACGCCCGGACACAAAACAGCTACATGAACCTTCCTCCATCTGGTTTTGAAAATTCAAATCCTCAGTCAGGCGTGTCTCCACGGGACTACCCGCGAGCTGCGTCTGGTTATTCACCTTCACCTGGTCGTCGCTCCTTGTCACCCATGCGTCGTCGGCCACCTCCTGAACACGAGAGAAACTAGCCGCCGCAGTTCAGGAAGCAAGAACTGCGCTGTCTAAATGCTGAACTCCTCGAACTTTGCTGTCGAATACAGTCGAAGTTTTTCTACAAGGTACTCTAGTCGTGCATATGATCTTATTGATACTGGTGCTGCCCTTCGTGTTATAGATGCTGAACTTTGCTGCAAGCTTCGAAAAGTGACTACGCCTCTTGATATGATCTCCTTGCGTACAGTGAATGGGGAACGTTTTCAGCCTGTAGTTGCCTGTACTGTCCGACTGATCACCACGAAGGACCACTACGCTGTTATTTGTCCTTTCATCATGCTCACACGACATAATACTTGGTAGGGATTTTTTATCGCGTACCCACGCCGTTATTGATTGTGCAATATCTGAAATTGAACTCTTCCCGTTTTATGACCAACCCGCCGACCACACTCAGCGCACCCTACACTAACTCGTCGTCAAAGAAGGCACTTAAATTCCTCCGACAGCAGCTGTGTTGCTCCCCGTATTCTGCAACAGCATTTGGGACGAAGCTGACTTCTTTGAACCATCAAGTATCTTCTTTAGTCAAAAACCTTATGTAACCCTCTACATTTCTAAAGGAAACAATGCTTTCTGCCTCATCGATTCCCTTCCGTATCCCGTTAAACTGTTTCAAGGTGAATCTCTTGGACATGCGCACGCCATTGACAAAGGACAAATTTTTACAATGCTGCCAGATTCTGCTGGTGACTACTACACCATCAGTGCCCTCAACCCTTCCGACATACCACTTTCCGAGATTTTCAATTCATCGATCGCCGACGAACTGTCGCCACCTGAACGCTCTGAGCTTCTCCAGCTACTCTACCAGTTCTGCGAATCCTTTGACGTTGCTCAACTTGCCCTGGGCTGATCTTCCACTTTTTTTTCACTACATTGACACAGGTTCCAATGTGCCAGTATGA